TAAAGAAGTTGAGTTTGTAGTAAGAAAACCTACCCACAAAGAAAACTCCAGGCTCTGAAGGTTTCATTTTCAAATTCTACCAAACATTTAAGAAAGAAATAATGTCAATTCTACACAAATTTTCTCTGGAAACAGAAGGAGACAGAATACTTCCTAATGATCTTAGGAGTCTACATTACCCTGAAACCAAAACCAGATGAAATCATTACAAGAAAAGAAAACTAAGATTCCTCATGAATATAGGCAAAAAATCCTTTAAAATATTAGCCAACAAAATCCGGCAATATACAGAAAGAGTAATACATCATGAGCAAGTGAGTTAATCCCAGGGATACAAGACCGGGTCAACACTTGATATCAAGGAATGTGGGGACTTCCAGATATAGCAGAGTAAAGAAGTTAACAACTCCCCTTCCCCAAAACAACTTTAAAATTGGACAGAATTGTTAAAAACAACCACGTCAGGCTCTAGACATTGACCAAAGGGAAAGAATAAATTGAGAAGCCTTTATTCATAAAAACTGATGAACCTTGGGTAAAAACAGTCAGAGTCTATGGCATTCTTGCCTGGGTTGCTCCTATCCACCATCAGCACCACTCCCACCTTCCCCAGCTAGGTCACTGCAATAGCTCTACCAGGCAGGGCCTGGTCATGAAAAGAAGAACCTTTGCTATTGGCAGTGGCTGACTTGATTTGGGGTAGAGAGCAAAAACCTATGCTCAGAAGTATTATCAATAAAACTAGTGAACTCAAGTAGGAAGTAAAAGGTGAAAACTCAGCTCTGCCAGCCTAAGGTTGCAATCTTAGTGAGGTGAACAGATTGGAAGACTAGCTAGAAATTTTACAGAGAGATTCTGGAAATGAGACAACTATCAAGGGGGTAGACAAGCTCTCACACCCCTGGAGGGCTGAAAAGCTGCACACATGTGTAGAGGAGATCCAAGAGAGCCCAAGGTCTCCACAAATCCACGGCTGACTGGGAGGTGGCATGCAAATTCAGAAAAGACCTAAGAAGGCATGGAAGATAGGAAAAGATGGAGCTAATTTGACGTTTGGAAAAGAGTTAACATAGTAGGCCTGAATGCTACCCTTTGAAAAATCTGCTTGAAAGGTTGGCCCTTGGCTAGCAACAGGGAGCTTGATTTCAGGAGGGTTTTCAGATAAGGGTGGCCGACTGAATCTAAACTGTACAACGTGGTTTATCGTGAAGACCTACATTCCTTTTGGGAGTTGGGAGTTTTGGTATTTGCTAGGCAGAGGTGTTGACACGACTAGCCTCCAGTGAAATCCTTGGCCACTGAAGTCTCTTAAAGAATTTCCCAGGTAGACAGTATTTCACGTGTTTTGTCACAACTCATTGCTGGAGAAATTAAGCACATCCCGTGTGACTCCACCAGGAGAGAACCCTTAGAAACTTGTGCCTGGTTTCTTCCTGACTTCGCCCATGTGCCTTTTCCCTTTAATGATTATGCTTTGTATCCTGTCAATGTAATAAATGATTGTCATGAGTATGACTATACGCTGAGTCATCTAATGAACTGTCAAACCTGGGAATCCTCCAATACACTTGAAAATTGTCTTCCCTCTGAATGTGCTCATCAACCCACACAAACATCCATCAGGAGAGGGTGGAGATGTCTGAGCACAATTTCTGACCAATCACTGGCTGAGCACTAAGTTACACAGACATAGAAGTGACACCTAGAAAGCCAGGTTAAAAAACCAAAAATAAGAATTAAAAAAATCAAAACAAAAAACCTGAGCAGACACATTACCAGCCATACAACACAAGAGGAAAATTTCTCAGATAAAGTCCACATAAATGAGGAAAAAAACAAATAAAATAGCAAACAGAAACCCCAGGAAAAAAGTCAGAA